ACACTATACCCTATTACACTATTCACCACAATAATAATGCACTTTAACAGTCAACACAACTACAACTTTAAGGTTATACGAAGAAATAATTTGAGGAATCAGCAAAAATAATAAACAGTTCCTAGGCTAGGCAGCGTTTGTGTATCCAGAGTTGTCTGTAACAAGGTGGATTGCAGGTTATTTTGTACGCTCCTCTGTCTTTTTCTATTGATCGGGCTTTTGTATTGTTCTTGACTTGATACGCAGGTGTGTAGCCAGCTTTCTTGAAAGCTTTGCCAATTTTCTCTGATATTTTGCCAGTGTATTTGATTGATACGTTTTTTGAGTTTGGTTCGGGGTTTTGGGTTGTAGTCTCGTTTTCAGGCCCTTGTTTTATTTTCCTGTTTATTTTGTTTATCATGGGGTCAATTTCGGAGAGAGTTGTATCATAGATAAAATATAGTTTGTTTTATCTATGGTTATTTATTTATCCATTAGTTATTTGCTATGGTTATTATTATGTTCATTTCTTTTTCATATGCCTGGTCGTTAAGGTTCTAGCTGCCAGAGCCGGACTCGTTGTACTGAATGAGGGCAACACGCCAACTTTCCGCCGCCCTGGGATGCGGGGGACGATCCCAGACATTACCCTTGCATCTGAGTCCCTTTTGCCAAGGATCAGATCCTGGAGAGTCCTGGAGGATTACACGGGCAGTGACCACCAGTACATAATTTTTGACGTCCTGGATGGTCATCAGAGACAAGTGGCAGCGTTTCGTCAAGTGCCCGTTCGATGGAACATTAAAAAACTGGACGTGGCAAAATTCAATGGAGCCATCCTACGAAGAACGCCGGATATTCATCCCGCAACTGGCGTGCCTCACGCAGAGGCGTTAGTTGCATCCACGATGGAACTGATTGTCTCGGCCTGCGATGAATCTATGCCTCGCATGAGATACCGGTGCAATAAGCGTCCTGTGTACTGGTGGACTGCCGAGATTGCGGAATTGCGACGAGCAGCATTGAGAGCCAGAAGACTTGCTACCAGGGCTAGAGAACCCCTAGACAGACGGCGTAAGCCGGATGCTTATAGGGCGGCTAGGAGGTATCTTCGTCGAGCCATCAATCGGAGTAAACGCAGTTGTTGGGATAAATTAAGGGACGATGTTGATTCCAACCCGTGGGGCCTGGGTTACAAACTTGTAACCAAGAAACTTGGAACCCGCTCTCCACCTTCCGTTATGGACAGGGTCACTATGGAGAGGATAGTCGAGTCCCTTTTCCCGGCTCACGCGTTGCGACCACTGCGGGATTTCGGAAGGGTGGACGAAGTCCCACTTTTCAGCCCTGAAGAGCTGGTGGCGGCCGTCATATCCCTGAAGAACAACAAGGCTCCTGGTCCTGATGGGGTACCCGGTGAAGTCCTCAAGAAGGTTTTGACTACCAACCCCTTGATCCTTTTGAGCATGTACAACGCCTGCCTGGTCGAAGGGGTTTTCCCCTTGTGCTGGAAGACAGCTAGGCTTGTGCTTGTTGGGAAGGGCAAGGGAGACCCAGATCTGCCATCCTCTTACAGACCTCTGTGTATGTTGGATACGGCTGGCAAAGTCCTCGAGAAATTGATCCGTTCCCGGCTGAATTCAGCCGTTGTCGCTGCGGGGGACCTCTCCCCTCGTCAGTATGGATTCAGGACGGGGCGATCAACGATTGATGCGATTGAGGAGGTGAAGCAAGCAGTGATGAGAGCTGAGAATTTTAACCACTACTCTCGCAGGGTTGTGCTGCTCGTAACGCTCGATGTGCGAAATGCATTTAATTCGGCGAGGTGGTGCGATATGCTGGACGCTCTGGAGAACACCTTCCACGTGCCGGCATACCTCATGCGCATCATAGAGGATTATCTCCAGTTTCGCCTCCTAACGTATGACACTGCGGAGGGCCCGCGGACGATGAGTGTCACTTCTGGTGCTGCCCAAGGTTTCATACTCGGCCCAGACCTCTGGAACGTCGCTTATGACAGCCTTCTGAGGTCTGAAATGCCTGAGGAAACGGTCTTGGTTGGGTACGCAGACGACGTTGCAGCTTTGATAGCTGCACGTAGCGTTGAGCTGGCTCAGCTAAAGCTAAACCGAGTTATGCGTACCATAAACGCATGGATGGCAGACCACGGTCTCTCGCTTGCTCTGAGCAAAACCGAGATCGTGATTTTGACAAAAAAACGGATTGACACCATCGTGCCGTTGAGGGTGGGAGCCGTCGAGGTTCAAACTGTTCGTTCTGCCAAGTATCTTGGAGTCATGGTAGACAGCAAGCTTAGCTGGCGGGATCAGATCTTCCGTACAGCGGACAAGGCCGCTAGGGTGGTTTCTTCTCTTAGCCGGTTGATGGCCAATGTCGGAGGGCCTCGGTCCAGTCGTAGAAGGCTGTTAATGTCTTCGGTCCAGTCCGTACTCTTGTACGGTGCGGAGGTGTGGGCAGACGCACTAAATAAGGAGGCATACAGGATGCGGCTCGCCCGAGTGCAGCGTCAGGCAGCACTGAGGGTAGCATCTGCCTACCGAACAGTGTCCGAGCCCGCCGTCCTGGTGATTGCTGGAGTCATCCCCGTCAAACTTTTGGCGGCGGAGAGAAAGGCAATTTACCGGCGCCGCGGGGAGGACGAGGCACGAACAGAGGAACGCACCCGCACCTACCAGCTGTGGCAGGAGGGCTGGGAACAGGAGACACGGGGACTCTGGACCAGGCGACTGATACAGCAAGTCCAACCTTGGGTTGATCGGCGGTACGGAGAGGTGGACTTTTACCTCACCCAATTTCTGACGGGACACGGCTTTTTCCGGTCGTACCTGTTCAGGATGGGCAAAGCCGTGTCTCCCGACTGCATATACTGCCCAGGCATTCTCGATGACGTGGAACATACATTTTTCCACTGCCAGCGCTGGGAAAGGCCCCGCCTGGAGGCTCAACAGTTAATAGGACTGCTGTCGGTGGACACGGTCATACCGATTATGACGGAGGGTGAGGACAATTGGACCTGTGTGTCACATTATATCCAGGGTATCCTCCGCGCCAAGAAGATCGACCTTGACCGGGATGCGGTGTAGGTCATAAAGAATCAAAATGCCAGAAACGGTGCGAGCCCTGTGGGCTTAGGTCACATGTTGGCCTGACTTGAAGTAATGTGACAAACAATTCCAGGTCTGTGTCCAACAGAGTAGAGGGGGTTTTTTAGTGAGTAGTCTGATAATTTCAGGAGTCTCACACTACAGGCTGGCTACCTGTGTGCGTAAAAGCATTTTCCCTCCTCTCCCTAAAAAAAAAAAAAAAAGGTTCTAGCATAGATAAAACGTTAGTCTATGGTTCTAGTTTAATATTCTGTAGATTAATGAGCGGATCGCAGCCATTTTTTGTTTTGTCCACCACGGGCCACATTAGCAGAATTATACAGGGTGGGGCAATGAAAACGCCCTAATTTATTTATAAACAGTACAAACTCAATAATATTCACCATATGGATATAAATAGCACACCAAAACACAGCATATATTTTGCCATTTTAACTTAACAAAGTCATTTTTCAATTTTTGAGAACAATCAAAATCCTACAAGTGACTTCATTGTCCTACTTGACATTCCTTTTTAGCCACTTGAAACTCCATCAAATACTCCTCCAGCACTTCTTCAGGAATCACTTTAGTTTTTGGACTATCCTTAGCTTCGGTTCAAGCAAATCTGTGGGGTGACTTTGAAAAACCTAGAACGTCGAGTAGCTTATTAGAACAACCCCCCCTCCCCAAAAAATTAGCCAACGTAAAGCTTTCAACAACAAAAGCTTCCTGGCAAATCTCTTCGGACTTTGAGTTACTGGGACTCATATTCTTTTAACATTTGCTGGTATACAAGACAAAGAGTTTTGCGGCACCCTCCGATTATTTTTTATTTTTTTTGTTTAAGCGATTATCCTAAATAATTTTACCGAGTTAAACATTGTTTTCCAATATGGAACAGCGCCATGTTGACGAAGGATGGAATACGGTCCAAACAATCTCTGGGTTTTTGCACAAGAACCACTACTTTATAAATAGGTGTCTACATCAAAACCTCAGTGTTAATAGTCTCAGGCATAATATTTACTAAATTGGCATAGTTTAATTGATGTTTTAAGCACAGCTGATCATTCATTGTTGCAAAAATTAACACGTGACAGGTAAAACAAATTGTAGCGTTCTCATTGCCTCACTCTGTACATGCAAAAAGTTCGAAGAGCAACACAACAAATGACCTGGAACCACGATTACTAGAAAAAATAGTATTTTCCTACAGTTACCTAACAATGTACATGTTCTCTCACTGATTTGAGAAAGCAAAGTGGCCAATTCGCTCATCAGTGAGACAATGCTAACATTGTCTCACTCTAATTACTTTGTCTCACTCCAGATTTGCAACGTGAAGGCACGAAATAGTGAGCGCGTAACATGCAGGCAACGTCGTATGCGCGCGAAATACGTTGGCAGCACTGGCTGTAAATCAGCTGGTCAGCTGTTGTACTGTTGTATTTGTCACTTCACATTAAATGTTATATTAAAAGTTCACTTCTGTGTAAAAATAGGTTATGTTTCTTCACCAATTTATTTGTTTTATGGTAACTGTAGGGAAAGTATAATGTGCAACTCGAGTTCAAAGTACAATTGCCTCACTCGAGAAACCATTCCTCACTCGCCTACGGCTCGTGAGTAAGGATTTCTCTCGAGTGAGTCAATTGCTCACTTTTCTCACTAGTTGCACAAATAACTATTTTCTAGTAATCGTGCCTGGAACTATGCGATGATCTCGTGGTAAACACTGGTGTTCTCCCGAGTAAATAAATAAATACCGTACATAGTTAGGTACATATATCAACAAAATAGTCTTTACAGCCATAGACTAGGTTGGCAGCCTGAGTTCATTGACAAGACGGTTACTAGATCTAAAAAAACAGTTGTCAAGAAGTGTCAGTCAGTGTTACTCGTCAGTGAATTGCACTGATTTCTATGTCGCGCGTTCGGTTGTGTGATAATTTTTATTATAAATAATTTCAAAAGTGAATATATAGTATTACATTTTGGAAGTTATGATTTATTAATTTCAGTGTCTAAGTTGTTTGATTACCATAAACTAATATTATACTACCGGAAGAATTTCGATAATGTTTAGTAAGTCAATTTTAACATGGCTGAAGAATTACTTGTTGTTTTGAGAAGACGGGATCCCTCTTGTGGATTAGGATTTTCCTTATTAGGCACACCTGGATTACCTCCTGTCATTTATGACATTGTAGAAAATTCACCGGCAGCAGAAAGTGGGAAGGTATGTATCATCAAAGTGCTATTTAACACTCTTTAAGTGACAGATGTACCCCACCTAATGTCACCCTCTTATAATATTTTCAGTAAGGACTAACACCTTATTGGCTTTAATAGCCTGTGCCAGTGTGCCTACCTCTTTATTTTTCTATTCATTCCTTGAAATATACAATTTTGAATGGGCGTAGTCAAAAGCTAACAAAGGTAAACTTATGTACTTCCCATAAGTTACATTTAATGAGCTAGTCTCATCAACTTAGCACTTATTTTGTTGGTTAGTTTATTCCGTTTGTTTATGACCCAAAATACTCTTAAAGGCCCGATTTCACCAAACGCTTAAACCGCCGTCAAGCCTTGCTCTAACTGCAGTTAGTTAGCTCGTAACTGACGAAATCAGATTTCACCACTCGCCGTTAGAGCTAACTTAGTTTAGACTACTCTGTGGTTAAGAATTAACTGCCCCATTTTAAACCGGTTAACTTCTTTAATCTTTCGTTAAGTAATATCAGCTTGCTTTAAGTTTTATGAAAAGGCCAGATACGAATTAGCTTATGAAAGTGATAGTTTAAGATTATGTTGTTCGCCGATTAGGTGGATAAGAAAAAGGGTTGATGATTTTAATAATTTAAACAAAATTTATTTTATTACTAGATATAGGCCTATAAATTATTAAAACTTTTTGTCTTTTTCTTTAGGCTAAATCCCACAAGGTTTTTAGTAAAAGCGTATCTCTAGGTATGTGATCTGCGATCGCGTTAAACTGATTGGCGATCAGGAGCCACTCTTTTATCCCGGCTGAAAAGAGCATCTGGGTTTTTGCATTAAACATGGCAAAGTTTTTTTACCAATAAGTTATCATCAAATTCCTTTTCTCATTATTCGTTTTAAAAATAGACTCCCTTTTACTTTCCCAGGTTTTGGGTAACCCTACGCTCAAACAATTGATTGGCATTTGGTTAGATATAATTAAGGACAAAAACTAAACCTAAATTGTCACTATTCTGCTAGTATTAAGTTGGTAGGCTAAGTTTTAAAAGAAATCTTGAACTGGTAATTATTTACCGTATTTACACTGGGATATGATGTAATTGTGATATGTCTACTTACAGTATTTTTAACGCTGAATCCAAAAATGCAATCAGTTTTGGTCGGAGAGATTCCTAAGTAGCCGTACAGTTAAATAATAAATATTAAGCTTTAGTTTTATAGATTTATTAGGCTAACATATTTGTGGTATGGACGAGTCCAAGTTCTAGTGGCGACTAACACTAAAGGGGTGGAAGGTCTGTGGAGTGGAAACATCTGTCAGTTGTTTACATTCAATAATAAACAGACAAAACCACACACGACACCATGAGAGCAAAATCAGAGTTACAATATGCAATACCGTAACTAGATTTTTCAAAGAAAATGGACTTTGGTGCTGTTTAGAAAATACAATAGCCTAAATCAACTAGGGTAAGGCACCCAGTAGTTGACACTTTTAGACCAGATTACGGTTAATATATTCATAAATAATGTTGGGTTAGAGTTTAAGAAGTCTTTTTGATGTTATTTATTGCTCTGAATCTTGAAGATTAAGATAAAAAATAATTAAACCTTGTTTACTATAATGGAATACCAGAAAAATATTAAAACGCAAAGTCTTGCATCAGACCCAGTATTTGACACCAAAACCCAGTAGTTGACAGCTACTCACCCAGTGTTTGACACATAATTTTAACTCAATTTGATTGCAGAATTTAGCCATAAAAGCCAAATTAAACTATTCATAATCACAGGATTGGTTTTCTATTGATTCCATTGAAGAAACTAAGGTAAAAAAACCAAAAACAATTGGCAAATAGGCTTTAATTTATGCTTTAACATTACGATTAGACTGTGACACATGGGAACTTATAAAATATTTCATAGGGTGACCCGGGGCAATTCTGGCACGGGGCAATTATAGCAATGGCCTATATTTTTTTTAAATTTCAGCTTTACAGATCAGTGAAGCAATATTTGTTATTTCAGCATATACCTCCAATATATAGGAAAGCATTTTTGTAAAAATAAAATGTTTGCAGTAATTTTTATTAGCGATTAAAAAAGTACTTTCTTCCACAGCCCGAGGATATCGAAACATCGCACACGGCTAATTTTTTTTCCCCTATGAATTTTATATATTATTTTTTTTTATACTCAAAGATAATTGTTCAGACTTAAAACTTCATGAACAAAAATAGTAATAGCAGTTATCCCTTTAAGATATTTAAATTTAAATGGGTGCTATAATTGCCCCATTTTCATATGCTATGGGGCAATTGTGGCAAAGAACCCGGGGCAATTATGGCAGCTATATATCTTTATACAAATAATGTATAAATTAAAGAATAAATTGTATAACAACGTGTGTTATGTGTAATATGTTTCATTTCAGTTCATTTGGATGGCTTTGTAAACACCTTTTGCTTAGATTACTCTATGGCAGCCTGATTATTTTTATTGTTTATTGTTGCTAGAAGTTTTGAGGTTAAGGCCCTTGTACGCTTGTACTGTCTTACCGGTTTATTCACAACTTCCTTATAAATAGAGATAGAACAAAAATTAAAACACCATCTTAAACAGCTAAATTAGGCCTATGCCATGATTGCCCCAATGTCAGAGCAATTTAAACAATAAGGAAAGTATAAGGTATTGCTATAATTGCCCCAAGGTTGGGGCAATTCTGGCATCTGACACTCCAAAAAAAAAAAACCTCAAACCCCCTTAAGGGGAGTTTGAGATTGTTGTCTAAATATATGAAAACACTAGAGGAATAACATAGAATTACTATGGTAATTGTCAAAATAAAATGAAAAATATGTTCACCGCGGTACAAGCAGTTAAAGTTAAGGTTCACGTCTGGCTGCCAGAATTGCCCCGGGTCACCCTACTTAACAATCAGTCTTACTAATCAGTCTTATTTAAACCTACTTATGATAAACAAAACTTAGTGTCTTACTAATTCATTTTTTTTAGTGTGTTGTGATGTCCATAGTCCGATACAAATTCATTACCGATAAACATAAACTTCCTGAGTTTATTTCGTAAACATTCTTCATGCCTCGTATACCCAAGACCTTTTCACCTTTTGGGTACAGAAAAAAGGCGCTTTCATCCATGTTAAATACTTTGGCTGGATCATTTAGGATATGGAGCAAATTCTGTTCGCTTAGGTAGTTGGTCACCTCCCTAAACCAGTTGCGTTTAAAATCTTCTGTGACAGAAGCTCTCACATGACTTAGTTTTTCCACAGTCCTCTCAGAAACTTGAGGATTTCTCTTCAAAAAAAGAGTGAGCCATTTATTCCCAGGCCTGCCATTTGGAAATAAGTGACTGAGATTCATATCCTTTGATATCTGGCTTACGGATATCAATAGATCAGTCTTGGTAACAGGAAAGCCTTTAGCAGCCATCGCCATAACCCAGTTAACCAACATCTTTTCTGAGTCAGTGCCTAACCTTGGAGCAGGGCCCATCTTTCTATCCATGGGGGTCTTCCGAGTTGATTTGTAGATTAAAGTTGACCTTGGGATATTGTATTTTTTACTTACTGCAGAAGCAGTTTGGCCTTTCTTAATTTCCTCCAACGCCTGCAGTAAATCGGCGTGCGAATATGACAGGACAGATCGTTTTGGTGGCATCTGTAAAGCAAATGAAGTCAATAGCCTAAAACATATTAAAAGTATTCTACAACAATCAGCTAGGCTAGCCTAGAATAGGTTTTGGATGAGAAAAATGCATTAATTGACACTTTAAAGCAAGTATTTACACTACTGTCAAGCACTAGAAATTTGCCTTACCCAGTCCTTGACATAACTGCCAACCACTGGGTTCGAAGCACATTTCTGAATCCAGTGCTTGACACTGGTTTATTTCTATAATGGTTAAGGTTAGGTTATTTTAACTACAACAAAATTATAGCTTGTTTAATGCTGAATCCACTAGTACATAAATAAATGTATTTTGATGATAACTGGTCTGGATGGATATGGATAAAAATTTTCTTACCTCTTATTTTTTTGCTTGAGGTTTAGGAAGTAACTGACATGTGTCTCTTCATTCTTCTATAGCAGCACTGAAATGAAACTTAAAAAATTTGGGACAGCTTATTTTTGGAGGGAATAGGTTCAGCTGTCACATGACACCAAAAAAACACCTGTAAATCAATTTACAAACATGTGGCATGCACAAACTGTCAAAGTGTCAACCACTGGGTAGGTGTCAACCACTGGGTGCCTTACCCTACAATACATAAACTATTAATCACATGAACATAAAATATAAAACAAAATATAATTTATTCTCGTAAAATATCAGTAATAGAAGCTAGGCCACTGCCGACATGATCATCGTCCTCATTCCAATCCTCAACCATTGGCTAATGCCTCAACGTCTGTTAATGAACGTGCCATAGTGCATAATCCCATAGTACATAATCCCATTGTGTCTAAAAGTGAAAACGTGCCACAGTGCATAATTTAATGTATCAGCAACTAATAAAAAAAAAAATGATGTTAAATAATTTAATCTAACCTAACCCAACCCAATCTTAATATCTATACTTATTTAATACGCAAGCAGGATTTTTGTGACAATTACTCCTCCGAAACTACTGAACCGATTGACATGTTTTTGGTGTCATTGGAAGGAGCGTAACGTGAAGTTGTGCAGGAAACTTTCTTTTTAGGTAAATAATTAGAGAGTGAGGCCCTGGGGCCCTTTTAAGTTTTGTATTTCTCCATAAGATTAACATGGGAAATAAACATTGTTTTGAAACTCCAGCTGTTGTCAGAAATTAAATATTACATTTGCTTTGAAATTTAAATGTAAACAACCAGAACTGTCAAATGCCTGAAGAAGAACACATGTTGTTAATTGTAGACAGTCGATGTGTAAATTATCTATGTTGTATTACAAATGTGTATAGTTTTGGATGTTGGTTTGTGTTTAATGATATAAGTTATTAATTATTGAAAT